GTATTTATTATCATAAAAACTATTACAAGGATGTAGAACCAAACTATGTTCTAACAGTCTCCCCCTTTATGATGATGACAACAACTTGTATATTTTGATAGATTACTTAAGAGAATAAAGAATTAAAGTCCCCCCCTGAGTTGAATACTCAGATAAATAAAATATACTTACTTGAAGATGTTCTAATCAGAGCTTTGTGATAGAAGTAATGATACGTCCACTTGACAGAAGTTACTTTTCAGAGGTTACTTTCAAGAGATTTTTCCTGTTTGCTTTTATAGGATAAAATAGAAGTTATGATATCCCAAATGTTTAATACTAAGTTTTGGTACTTTTATATTCAAAATATCTGATGTTCTCCCCCTTTTTGTCAAGAATCAAAAAGCAATAAAAACACGTAAAAGTAACAAAATGGATTTTGTATTCAAAGTGGATTAAGATAAATAGAAGATTGAAATAAGAAACAAACATAGTAGAAACAAAACAATATATCAGAACTAAGGTTGAGGAGGTGGAAGTCGTATGAACAAGGCTTCCAATAAACTCTTGATTTGATTGTTTGATTCCTCTTGTTTCCCAAGCATCCCCTTAATTTCCTTGATCGTTTCATCCTGTTTTTCTAGCCTTTCCTTAAACACTGCATTTTCTTTCTTCAACTTCTCCAGAGTTTTCAAAACAAGAGAGGAAGAGGTTGTTTCAACAAAAGAACTCACATTCTTAGAATTGACTGCAGCAGGTTCTTGCTCAGGAGATTCTTTGATTGTCTTGCCTTTGTCTTGAAATATGACCAGAGGAAGAGGCTGAGGTTCAGGAGACGGTTCATTATAATCTGATGTCTGAGAATATTCCCAAGGGGTGTTGTCCAGAAGAAGGATGGGTTTCTTTACCCAGTGTCGCAAAACTTGATCCTTGAAGATTTCAGGCGATCACAGAAGTTTTGTTGCGCGATTTCATAGCTGAGTTCCTTTAGCTTCAGAGATTCAGAATTAAACTATTTTCTGAACTGATTCTAATGAGAATCAGAAGTAGCTGGGTTAAGATTCTCCAAGCAATCTTGCTTCAAGGAGTTAACTCATTCCTATATTTTTGTTTCAAAAATCAGTAGAGATTTACCAACATTTGATTTGGATATTTTTGGTGTTGGTTTAGGAACAACTATTTCCTGAGAACTTGTGACAAGATTCTCCCAAGCTTATAAATCAATGATTATTTTGAGGGGGTATTTTGGGTAGTTATTGGGAGAGGGAGAGTCAAAAATAATTATAGGTGAGTTAGGTGGTGTTAAAAGATAGGGAGATGGAATATATGGAATGGAGAAAGTTTGTGATGTAGTTGTGGGGATTATTGGTGGTTGAGAGATCATGAGTGGGTAAGTTATGCCTGGGATGGTTGTTGTGGTATCAGAGTTAATATTTGGATTTTTGGTTTGGGGAGCTTCAAACAGTGGATAAAATTGATCAATATCAAGAAGAACTTGTGCAAGTTCTGGTTGAGTCTGATCAAATTGGGTAGAAGGTGGATTAATCATAGGATTATTTGTAGGTATTGAGGTGTTAATTTCTAGGTAAAAATCATCAAGGGTTTGAAGAGATGGATCTCCAGCAGGTTTTGGAGATGAGGGGGTTTCAGATGTTGATAAAATAATGATTTAATAACAGAAATAAAAGACGAGTTACATTTCTTTTTGGTAGCTTTTGGGTGTTTTCTGAGAAGTTCTTTCTCCACCAGCTTTCCTTTTTCTTGACTTTCTGGTAGCAACTTCTAGAGGTTGTTGCCTTAGGTCAAGAATATTCACATTTGGAATGGTACCATCACTCTTGCAGGCTTTTAGATACCTGAGGACAATTTTTAGAGAAGAGTCTGCTTGAGTGAAGAGAGGAAAATCCTTTAGATGCATTCTTCTTGCGGTGATTGAGCCAACCGGCTGGGCAAATCATCGAGATGAAATCAATGAAGTCGACAGTGAATTTTTTTTATCCCATAGGAAGATAAAGGTAAACATCGAGAAACTTGAGAAGGGTGAAATCACGATTAAATGATTGAGAGATCGGGTAAGGGAGTCTGTTACACGAGGGGAAGGTATTAAAACCCCACATGCCCATAGTACTCTACGATATCCACTCTTATTATTCTAATCAAAGGGTGTGATCAAATCTAAACTTATGAGCTAAAGAAAAATGCAAAGAGGGAATGCATGCAAAAGAAAACATAAAATAATGTAGGGAAAATAAAGTTGTGCTCGCTTGGGCCCTATCCTAATGCCTACGTATACTTTTTGAGGAATTAGAGTTACTGTAGTTCGGCTCACATGCTTTGATTTATTTTGTGTTTTTTTATGAATAATATTAATTTCGCCTTCTGTCGTAGCTCGAACTTTAGAGACTCACGCGTCAGCACAAAAGTGAATTGACATGCTCCTTTGAAAAGTTTGAAAGAAAAGGGCCCGAAGGCACAAAAGAGTTTGCATTGGTTGATGTTTTTTTACCTTGAAGAAGGATTTGAAAGTTTCTAGATTTTTTATGCATTTTCCAAGAAAAGAGTTTTAGTTTTAATACAAGGATGCAAAAGAAAGAAAAATATCTAAGGGAAACTTGCTAGAATCTAATCCCTAATGTTATCATACAATGATTGATCCTAAGGTTGAGTTTTGAAAGGGAAATCTCTACCCTATGTTAGCATGTGTGGATCACAATTCTAATGTCTATCTCGAATCACTGTCAAAGGATGAATCGAGAAGTCCTAAGGGAGTATAGCAAAGGTTCACAACCTAAATCTATGTCTATCTCAAGTCACCACCAAAGGATGAACCAAGAAATCTTAAGGGAACATGCCAAAGGTTTACAACCTAAGAAGACATGTACACAAGGATGGAAAGCAAGTAATCAATTAGCTCAAGATAGAACACACATGCCACAAGTAGTGCACACTAACTCAGGTAAATGCCTAACCAAGATATAACTGATCGAGTTAGGTACAAAATGCAGTAGGGATTCTTTAGCCAAGGATTCATATCAACCAAGGCAAACAAGAGGGTAAAGGGATGAAACGGGAAGCTTAAGCCAATGGGTTATATCAACCGAGGCAAACAAGCTATATGTGGGAACAAAATCTGTACCATGGCATCATATTGCCAGGTAAGAAGAGTAAGGGGGAGTGAAAAAACATGGAGCATCAATATCGCTTGATCTGAGCTCAAAACAAAATATGGGGGTTTGATTGCAAAGCCCTTTCCCACTTGACGACTCAATAATAAGAGTAGGCACAACTCCGAAGCATCAAGGTGCGTCACGAGCTAAGGATGACACAAACGAAATGCACAGGGGTTGATTGCTAACCCTTTCCACTCATCTCCTTTTGAGGACTTCAATAAGGGACATGAGAATAAATGCAAGCACAAATGTAAACACACGTGCGAAATACCTACTTCAAAGGTAGGATTTTAAATAAACACAAGTAACATACACAAAGAGGTGCCTGCTACAGGACTTTAAATAGTGACTCCGAGCGAACGCTCTTTATTTCCTACTTCTCATGATATCTAGAAAGCAGTAAAGTGCTAAAATGAGATAAATAAGAGAAAATACCAAACAAACAAAAGTTTGTAGCGCTACGAGCGAAATAGAGAAACCCAGAAAACTTTGAGTAAGCTTCACTAAGCCAAAGAGAAATAATCAGAAAATCGGATGTAAAAGATAAGCGTTGAAGCCTTCATGTGAAAATAAATCACAATATCTGAATCATCATGTGATAGTCATGCACGAAGATACAAAACTATACAATGCAAAATACTCCGCTAATGTCTTATGGTGCGAGAAATCTCCGTTGGAAGCTTGCACAAAAATACACCAAACGAGTTAGAAATTAATAAGGCAATGTAACTCAATACTAAAGAACCCATTCAAGTATCAGAACCTACCACTAATCATTCATTATTCTAGGGAAACTGAATCAAGGATAGGAATCAACAAAGACGCGCCAAAATCCTAATTTTAATCATGTATTGAATCATTAATTTGATTAATTCCTAAACTAATAGAAAAAATTATAAAAAAATATCATCAAATCATAAATCATCATGCTAAGGCTCATACAAAATTTCAGCCAAAAATAATACAATAAACATTAAAACTAATTGCTGAAAATTTGAGAACAAGATGGAATTAGTGTAGAACAGGGGAGTGCAAGGCTGAATCTGGGTGATGTGCAGAAGCAGGCGCTGAAAGCCCAAGGGAGATAGTCCAATTAAACAATTTTTTTGTTCACCTTCAGCATTAGGTTTACCAAAAACAAACTAACGGGCTTAGAGGGATTTTGGCCAGCCTATACAACCATCTAACAACACTTAAACCAGATTTTATTTATCACCTTATTATTATTAAACCAAAAAAGTGAAATAACAATATAAAATGAACAAAGTTATGAGACGACATCGTTTTGGCGACTTAGGGTTCAAAATAGGGACGATTTAGTTTCATGAAGAAACTTCTTCTCCTTCTCAACAAAAACGCACCACGAAACTCGTCTCTTCCAATGATTCTCCGCCGTCTCAATCGCGTGCTTCCACCTGTTTCCGCTCCATTTCGGTTCTCCCTCAAAGATTCACTCTGTTCATGGTTCATCGTCAAGCTTCATTTCCGATCTTATGGCAAACGCGGTTCTGTCGAGCCTCGTCTCTAACATCTGATTCGCTTACATCCTTGCGCAATTCTGAGCCACATCATGATATAGAAAATTGAAGAGCCAAGGAATTTTACATCGCTTACCTTCCGGAGAGAGTCCGGCGCTCCTTCGGCTTTAGAAGATGATGATTTCAAAGATATATTTTGTAGGTTTTCTGTTTGATATTCACTTCTCTGATTTCTGCTTCCACGCATCTGAATCTTTCTTCTTCTGCATTTCATTTTTTGTTCGCTTCTGCTTGCGAATTGTAAGATTGTGTTGACGTTGAAGATCTGCTTGTGATTGTTGCAGATTGAAGTTATAGAACATTGACATTGAAGATGAAGATGCGATGGAGATCGATTATTGCTGTTATTGAGAAACGCTCGAGGATGAAGATGTGTAGCAGATTGATGCGCAGAAGATTATTGAAGATTGGTTTAGAGGTTGACGACGACTGAGGAAGGTTGAAGATGCGATGGAAAAAAATGGAGCATGAATACAGAGAGAGTTGAGAGAGATTTTTCTGGAGTTTCTTGGTTGTGATTCTTCTACGGAAATTGAAAAATGATGAAGATTTAGAGAGGAATTTTCTGAGTTTTTGTGATTCTTCTCATGGTTGAAGAGTGATGAAGATGAAAGTTGAAGATTCAGGGAGAGAGAGAGAGAGTAATTTTCCATGATTCTTCCAAGAGATTGAAGAATGAAATGAATCAAGGTAATTTTCTGTTTTTTTATAATTCTGTTAGATTGGAGATGGTTAGTTAGAGAGGAGATTCAGAGATAGGCCTTGAGATTGAAGGAGATGGTTAGAGTTTGTTGGATTCGGTTAGAAACAATTAGGAGGTTAGAGGAAGTTTGTTAAATTCTGTTGGAAAGTTAGTTATAGTTAGGAGGTATTTTGAGTTGTTAGTTAATAGATGAAAAAAATGCCTTCGTTAAAATTCTGTTAGGTGATGCATGATGTTTAGAAGTTCCATGCTAAAACGAAAAATGTTAGTTGCAATTATAAAAAAAAAGACATGTTAGTTAAAAAAACTGGAAAATTAGTTAGTGAAATGTTAACTGGAAAAGTTAGTTAGGTTTAGAAATAGAACCTGCTAGTTTTAAAATTGCTAGTAACTTGGCTAGGTGATAAAACAATTAGTACAAAGTGTTAGTATTAGTTGGGAAGTTGAAGTTAGTTATAGGTGTGAAAAAGTTCTGTTAGGAAATTGTTAGTGAATGAGCTGGCCTTTGGTTTTCATTTTCTTATTTCTGGTTTTATGAGCTGTTATAGTTATTTATAATTTTTTGTTCTTATTATTTCCACCATCTCTTCTAATATTTTTCTGCCGTATCTGCGAATTATGAATTTCTGATTTATTTCTGTCACGAATATATGAACTGAACTGGTTTTAGTGCTTGGAATTCTTAACTGTCTGGCCTCGATTCATGGACTGGTTTATCATGTTTTTGTGATTTAGCATTGAATTGCTTTGGATGTAGGGCAAATTGTATGAGCTGGTCTGTTTTATTTATGCAGGTTGGTTACGAATTAAAACAAGGGCAGGAGGTTAAGGTGATGGTAAGATATGAAGAATTTTGGAAGATTGGCTTAGGTTTAGGATTAGGCATAACAACTTGGAATGGAGATTTAGGAACGCTTAGGCTTAATGTGGATATTAGGAATTCTTTTTGTATGCAAATGGTGTGATGGTAAAGATTGAGGATTTTGAAATGGTAATGTATTTTGATCCTGTAATGTTTTTGTAACTGTGATGCTGCACTTTTGTAATGACTTCAAATTGAATGAACTTATAATGAGAACTTCTCGCTTGAATTTTCTCAAAACCTTGATAACCACTTGGATGTTGTTGAATGAATCTTTATATTTTTTACCTTAGAATGAAGAATGATGTTGAATGATCTTTAAAATAACAACTTGACCATGATGAAGTTTACTTGATGCCACGATCTTTAATCTTACTTATGATCATATGCCATCTTCCTCCACAAGAACATGCGAACCAAACCTTCGGGCATGCTATATTTGAATCAAATTGAACCTTAATGCATGTTTGAAATCAAAGTTCTTGAATGAATTTCAAAGGAATAACTTGTACCAAGAAAGTGAATATTGGGCTGGAATCATTAAAAAAAACACTTTTCCAATGACATCTTGAATCTTTGACCTCTCTTGATAAATTGAAATCAAAACATATGAATAAGTCATGTTGGATCTTTAATAGAACCCTTATCTCAAATGTAATTCCAAAGAAAAAGGCTTATACCAATTATTCACAATGCCTTGATTGTCAAGCAACAAAACCATCAAACAAAGTATCTTGAATTATGATACAGACAAATACTAATTGATTGACTGAGGAACAAATGAATCTAATGCAACAATGCCATAGTCATTAACCTGTACCAACTGATAAGCACACTCATATGAGGAGATGTCTTGATTCAAAGACCATGTATGTTAGGTCACACCCTTGAGTTCTTGACAACCAAACCCTACAACTTGTTGTTCAGCAGAAGATAATAGCCTTGTAGCTTGATGGAAAAGAAATCCAAAATGAACATGAACCAAAAACCTAATTCCACAATCTAGTACACAAAGAAGAACCAGAGAAATCAGACTTTATTTGATATATACACCTCGAACCAAGAGAAAACCCTACTTTCCAAACTACTAATCTTTTGAACCTCAGGTGCCTTTATTGAATGAAATGCATGTTATCTTAATGACCTAATGAAAGGATGCAAATGAATGCGAAACCTAAGACAAATAAAAATATTGATTAGGAGGGAAAATTTTGGGGTGCAACAGTGATGAATTCCTTGGTGGCGAGTGTTAGATCCTTCTTAATGGTTTCGATTATCTTCATCTTCTTCATATTCTTGACATTTAGAGGTGTAATACGGTGGGAGAATTGACTTTACTGGATTTACGTTTTATCGCAAATGTTGTGGTTAGCAAGAGTCGCCACCGACTTTTTTTATCCAATAAAGGAAAGGGTGAAAAGAACAGGAAAAACCATTCGAGATTATTTTCTAAGTAAGGGGGGTAGGTTATGGAAAGGGAAGGTGTTAGCACCCTTTCCATCTGTAGTTATCTACGGGCTCTTAGTTGCTAGCTCGCTTTGAAAATGCTTTTTTGTGTAAGTGTGTTTTGAAGATATTTTGAAAAGACGCCTTAGTGCGGCGAACTTTGTAATGTTTCTCGTTTCGGCGAGAACATATACAAAGTGTTTTTTGTCTTTGAAAATATTTAGAAAAGAGTTTGTGTAAAAAATTGTTTTTTGATTGTTTTTATGAGCAAGCAACTAGGAGCTATCTACCTACTCAAAAAGTTTATTCTTTTCCTCTAGACAGTGCTATCCTACTATTAGTGAGTAGGTAACCATATCGTCGGATTTTTGAGGGATGGGCGAGGGTCATCGTACAGTCACGAAAGCAACTAGTAAGATTACTTTAGTAGTTACCCTAAGGTTTTAAGATCATATACTGAGGAAACGTCGAAAGGGTCATCGAGGGACTTATGATCTTTAAATCAAAGGGTTACCACTAAAATCTCTTACATTTGAGAGTCGTGGCTGTTTATTTATCCGAAGGCAACAAGCGGAGGTACCTTGAAGGTGCGCGTGTGCGAGTGTGTTGTGTTTCAGTTATTTATCTTGAATGTTAGGTTTGCTAATGTTTGCTTTTATCTTGCCATACACGACCTAATTACTAACAGTAATATACATGTATATACAAAGGTGCGAAAAGTAAAAGTGTGGGAAAGTAAATCCTAAACTATTACATTCCATGAGCAGTTACAATGTTTAGAAATAAAATGTGAAAAAGATAAACTAACTATTACAAAATCATATGTGCGACCTATACATTTATTTCTAAAATGATAAATAAATAGAAAATAATAGAAAATATTATTTAGAAAGAAAATTAAATATCCTAAAAAGAAAAGCCTAAATATTTTTGGTTTTTTTGTGATTTGATCTTAATATTTAAAAAAAGAGTTTAAATTAATTACAAATTAATTATGAAATAAACATTAAAATGGGATTAAAATAAATTTGTCAAAAATGAATTTTAATCTAAAAAAACCTAAATCTATTTTTTTTGTGATTTCAATTTTATGATTTTTTTATTACTTTTTAATTGATTTAAGAAAATTAAGTTAATGATAATAGAAAAATCTAATGTCTAATTGATTTTAATTAAAAAAAAGGACGTGATTATTAATTAAGATTTAATCTAATTTTTTTTTGGGTTTTTGATTTTATGAGATTATTATGATTGAGTTAATTATCTAAAAAAAAGTTAATAAGATAACATAAATATTAAAAAAAGAAAATGTCCTGATTCTGAATCTGAGCTTATTTTTGTTTGGATCGTCCCATATCCTGAGATCCGAAACCAAACGTTCTTGATGCCCTAACGATGGCATCACATTATTTCCGCCTTCATGATTGCATGTAAAATGTTAGACTTGCTCAAAACATCAATAGTAATAAGAATATACGCATAAAAATAATTTAAATTACGAAATCAAAGAGATTTGAAATCAAAATTTTACCAAATCGAAGGGATGGTATGAAGGGATTATGAGACGTGTGGGGGTTGGATAATGATATGGATCGCCTCCTAGGGGTCTTAGAAGGATGAGGGAGTCATTGGTTTTGAGTGAGAGAAGCTGGAACTTGGGTTATTGTTGCACCCCAAAATTTACCCTCATAATTTCTCTTATTCTGGCTTAGACTTGCATTCGTCTGCATCATTCTAAAGGGTCATGTGTATAGCATGCATTTTCATAAAAAATAGAGCACCTGAGGTTCAAAATATCGGTAGTTATGAAGCTAGGGTTTACAACTGATTGGAGGTGTATATGTTGAATAAGATTGATTATTCTGGTTCTTCTTGGTGTACAAGAATGTGGAATTAGGGTTTTGGTTCATGTTCGGTTTGGACTTCTTCTTTGTCAAGCAACAAGGCTATTCTCTTCGTCTGAACATCAAGCTGCAGGGTTTTTCTTGTCAAGAATTCAGGGGTGTGACCTAGCATACATACTCTTTGAATCAAGACGTCTTCTCATATGCGTGTGCTTATCATTTGATCATGGTTAATGACCGTGGAATGGCATCCATCCATTCCTCAGTTAACTAATTCAGGTTTGTTTGAATCATGGTTCAAAGATACTTCATCTGGATATTTCTCTGTGCATTTGAACTGAGGAATCAAGGTCGTGAGTTGTGGTTATCAGGATTCCTTTCTCGTCGGGGCACAATTGTTTTTATCCAGTCTCAGCAAGTGTTGGGATTTTCATTTGTGTGATTAAGGTTTCATGTCAAGCGATTTCTTTCGTATTTCAAACCTTATCGTCCATCCTTAAGATGTTCTTCATGACATTAATTTTGAGTTGAGATAACCGGTCATTAAGGGCTAAGGATTGAATTGTGAAGCATGGTTCATGGCATAAGATATGAATTTGTGGACTTATTCTCAATCAAGGTGATTATTTTTCTTATCATTGTCATTCATTGTCCGTAATACGAGTGGATTTGGATAGAAGTAGGCTCCTCATTGAAGGATTCATGCAAAATGATTCAGGGTTTATTCATGATTTGATTCAGGATTTATATTCAAATACTAAACACAAGTTCAATTCACGCATCTTGTATCAGAGTTCATTTTATATGATAAATCAAGGAAAACTCGGAATTTAAATGCTAAGGGGAAGGAAAGATCCATTCAAAATCCACTTAAGTGGTTACTTTGGTTATAGTTTGTCAAATTGGATCAACTTTTCTTGAGGTGTGAGTGTGTTGATTGTTTGGAGTTCGAGTTTTGAAAGAAAAACAAAAGTAATAGGCATCATGATCATTCATCATACAATATTCACTATTTGAAAGTCATCTTGATTCAAGTATCATTTTTAAGTTCTCATCATAAGAATGTTATATCAAGGAAAATTTAAAATACATAGGTAACATTCAAATCCATCCAAGTTCTACTGTATTAAATCAAGAAATATAAAGGTTATTCTCATGAATCATTACATCCATAAACTCCATTCAATTTCACCATTAAAAGTTCAAGACCGTATGAAAGTTCATGTTTGCGAGAGCTTGGAATTCAAATGCAAACAGGACAGAAAATATCCATTCAAATATCATTACATTCAAATATCATTACAGTTTGGGATTCTACAAGAGGAATAACACCTAAGTTGATGCAACTTAAACTACAAAATAGGTTTGAGCCCCACAATCCGACCATGTCTTCCATCCTTCTCTTTGCTACAATGCCATGAAACATCGATCGATCTTGCATAATTCGTACACCATGTTGCAATCTTGAGCATTTCTTGAAAGTATTAGCTGAATACAGAACGTCATTTCTGACACTAGAACCATATGATAATTCTACACACATAACAGAAACGTATATATTCAACTCAGCCCATTCAGAACCCACAGCATACAAAACCAATCATAAAGGTCATTTCACACAAAAAAAAACCGTTCCTCTTAGCATTGAGCCAGTCAATCAGTTTTACTCAAAAATGA